CTGTGAAACTAAAGTCAGGATCATCTCTGTCTATCTTTCCTCCTTTAAAACTAAAGTCAGGATCATCTCTGTCTGTGTTTCCTCCTGTGAAACTAAAGTCAGGATCATCTCTGTCTGTGTTTCCTCCTTTAAAACTAAAGTCAGGATCATCTCTGTCTGTGTTTCCTCCTGTGAAACTAAAGTCAGGATCATCTCTGTCTGTGTTTCCTCCTGTGAAACTAAAGTCAGGATCATCTCTGTCTATCTTTCCTCCTTTAAAACTAAAGTCAGGATCATCTCTGTCTGTGTTTCCTCCTTTAAACTAAAGTCAGGATCATCTCTGTCTGTGTTTCCTCCTTTTAAACTAAAGTCAGGATCATCTCTGTCTGTGTTTCCTCCTTTAAAACTAAAGTCAGGATCATCTCTGTCTGTGTTTCCTCCTGTGAAACTAAAGTCAGGATCATCTCTGTCTGTGTTTCCTCCTGTGAAACTAAAGTCAGGATCATCTCTGTCTGTGTTTCCTCCTTTTAAACTAAAGTCAGGATCATCTCTGTCTGTGTTTCCTCCTGTGAAACTAAAGTCAGGATCATCTCTGTCTGTGTTTCCTCCTTTAAAACTAAAGTCAGGATCATCTCTGTCTGTGTTTCCTCCTTTGAAACTAAAGTCAGGATCATCTCTGTCTGTGTTTCCTCCTTTAAAACTAAAGTCAGGATCATCTCTGTCTGTGTTTCCTCCTTTAAAACTAAAGTCAGGATCATCTCTGTCTGTGTTTCCTCCTGTGAAACTAAAGTCAGGATCATCTCTGTCTGTGTTTCCTCCTTTAAACTAAAGTCAGGATCATCTCTGTCTGTGTTTCCTCCTTTTAAAACTAAAGTCAGGATCATCTCTGTCTGTGTTTCCTCCTGTGAAACTAAAGTCAGGATCATCTCTGTCTGTGTTTCCTCCTTTTAAACTAAAGTCAGGATCATCTCTGTCTGTGTTTCCTCCTTTTAAACTAAAGTCAGGATCATCTCTGTCTGTGTTTCCTCCTGTGAAACTAAAGTCAGGATCATCTCTGTCTGTGTTTCCTCCTTGTAAACTAAAGTCAGGATCATCTCTGTCTGTGTTTCCTTCCTTTTAAAACTAAAGTCAGGATCATCTCTAAAGTCAGGATCATCTCTGTCTGTGTTTCCTCCTGTGAAACTAAAGTCAGGATCATCTCTGTCTGTGTTTCCTCCTGTGAAACTAAAGTCAGGATCATCTCTGTCTGTGTTGTGACTCATGTCTCATGATGATGAACTTGTTTGTCGTGTTTTATTTTGTCTGTAGGGTGTGTAAAAGATGGAAACGTCTTGTTAAAGACCAAAGGCTCTGGAGACTTGTCGACCTGACTGCATGGAAAGGGGTAAGAAGAGTTTATTTGTAATCTGGCTTTACACTTAAATACTTTCATTTCAGTCCAGACCTGGAACATAAACAGACATAGGACAGCAACACAACCTGATGTAGTACAACCAAGAAATGTAACAATGTCACTGTTGGTTTAAAGTTTCACTGGA